GCAAATTTTTATGATTATTCTCTAGCCAACACTAAGTTAGTAGTTAGGAAGGAATTAATCTGTATGTTGATTCACTTATTTTTACATACCGAAACCTATATTCGAAATTTTTCGTCATCAACATGTTGTGCAGCCATACATGCTGCCTATTCTGATTACCATGTGATGGCCACGATATGAAACTTGTAGTAGAATTATCTATGATATTACTGCCATTCAATATAATTCGATATTTATCAATATGAGATACTTGATCTACATTGACGAGACGAAACAGAGATTCAGTTTGAGTCACTGACCTTTCATCGAGAAAAACGTAACTTAACATAATGATTCGACCATTGTCCAAAAGAAATACTCGACTATTAAATGGACACCAATCGGTGGTTACTCCATTGTACAGAGTTTCAAGACTAGCAAGATTCTTAATATTACATCGATCCAGCTCATCTTGAAGAGCTCGTGAATAATGTGAAAAGACTCGCCACCGAATTAGGATTTTCTTTTCAAGTAAATAGAATAACAAACAACCTAGATAAGCCAATAGTAGAGCGAGACAACCACCATACGCTATAAATCCAAGAAAACAAGCAAATCGTGCTCGATAAATTTGTACAGCATCAAAAATAAAATCGTAATAATCGAACTCAAATGAATAACTTTCTCTTTTTGATCTATAAGCCTTTCTAGCTTCATATTTCGATGGTTTTAAATAGCCAACAAAAATTCCACATTGAACTAGAACAACATCATTGAAATAGATGATGTTTTTCTCATAGCTCGATTCAATTACTAATCGATAGTCTTGTTTTTCAGTCATCGTATTATATTCGAATGGACTGATGCCGAGTGCTCGAACAATGCAACGAAGTGTTTTAGTACTAAATGCAGTAAAATCAAATGGAAATTTGATGGAAATATTTGTCGGAACTTTCACATATAATCTACCAGGAAAGAAGATGGCAGCAATATCAGGATGAAGAACTTTGTGAAATGTAGCGATACATTGTGTTCGTTTTCTATCATCAGTATAAATACGAGGTGAATAGAGAGATGCGTGTTCGATATTATTTTCATCAAATTCAACTTGAAGATAGATTTTATGAAAGATAAAATGGTAAATATCATCCAAAGTTGAGAAGAAAAAAGTTGTTCGACTACGATGGAATGCATAGGCAAGTTGTTTGAATTCATGAGAACGAACGTGATATGGTCCAAAAAAGGTATTGATCATTTGTGAGTGAGTTTCAATAGGAATTGCGAATAGTAAAGTACTAAGAATAATATAAAATGCTTTTTTAAGGTAGCCAATACGTTTTTTATGTATGTCGGGAAGTTGTTGATAATAAATACTTGAGAAAAGTGGTAACAACGAAGGAGTATTCATCAAAATTCTTAATAATATAAAACACGATGATACAAGACTTGCTGTTTCTTTTATTCGTTCTCTGGGTATTTTGTTAAATGGCCATAACAATTTCTTTTTTTATTATCTTCTTTCATTCGATAAGAAATACACAAATTTCAGCACACGTGTTTTCGTTTGTTGTTGAATCATGATTGGAAAATTTCAAGTAACTGTTCGCAAATTTCTTTTTTCTTTCTCGATAATAGTATGACTAATATGAATTGAATTGAAAATAAAAAACAAGAGATGAAAATTTTAATCAAACTCGAAAGCAAATATATTGTTTCGAGTTAATTCTTTGAAATTCATATTACAATAAACATTTTTAATCCATAGTTAAATTTCATCTTTGGGATGAACAAGTGGAAATTGACAGAGAGAGATGTGTCTCTGCTAGGATATAATTAACCAGTACAACGCAAAATTGTCTCTAAAAAGGATATAGTTTAGCAACTCTCTTATGATACAACAGTTGCAAATGCCTTTTGTTGTCAGCATTCGATTCTATCTCTCGTTAGGAAGAGAACGAATGATTCATACGATGTATACAACCCATGTCACCTCTAGCATATTACTCATTTGATGATGTCGACAGAATACTTCTATTATCACGCTCGATAGTCGTAACACTTGAGAAAAGAATGAAGTATTCAGAACATTCAAAAGAGCAAAATGACAGTTACAAGAAAAATTCGAGTAATTGTTGATTCAATGTTTCTTGAAGATATTCTTCAACAACAATCAATTCAGAATGGGTATTAGTAAAATACGTTCTGATCCACTGTGAACATCGTTTCTCTAGTCACTTATACAAATCGATAGAACTTGAAATTGTGAATTTATTGAGTCTCATTCTGAGTCAATGCGAATTGAGAAAATTTCTGTCTAGGAATCATTCCAACTAACTGACGACTACCTCCAGCATAAAGTTGTACAATCGATCTCACCAATTTAGTTGATATTTCTACAGTAGATAGATACATCTGAGTTAGGAATAAGGTATTGCAAGACTAGCTACTATGTTAAATTTGAACCATCATTTCTCATAATACTTGTCAGTAAAGTTTCATTTTCTGAACAATGATAGGAGTTATAGAAGAGATTTATTTACCATAGACACTATCAACCATGGGCTATCTTTTCTTCGCACCGATCATTCCATGCTTAAACTTTCGGATCCCAAGAATAAATAATATATTGTCAATTTGATTTGATAATAAACGTAGTGATCTTCGAGTAAATGTAAATCCAACTGAGCTGAATAATCTTTTCAACGAAGCCCTAGTCATTGGTATGGCTACTACTGATAGTAATGAGATTAAATATTAACTTGCAGGTCCTGCATGTGCAGCACCAGTGCAGGGCGAAATTGGTTAACTGTAGATAGTAGAATCATGCCGTAAAACTTTTGAATACTTAGACATTTTAGAAGCCGTGGAGGCTTCTATTACAATGAGAGGTTGAAATGTGTTTCATTCATTTCTCAATGTTCATTTTTTATCGATCAGTCTTGTATTAATAAATTCAAAAGAATTCTTATTCCATAATTTCATAATAACAGTATTTATCTTTCGCATTTTATATGACTTCAAACATATAGATAGGCTCGTCCCGAATATCGGTTAACTCCATTTTATACAACATGTTGTTGTCACATACAATCAGAGATGTCCCGAGCGAGGAATCATTCCTCAATGTTGAGAATTTGTCGTTTTTCTTCAGCGAAATTCCAAAGTTTTATTCCTTTTTTTTGCTCCTAGAAACCTTACCCAAATCCAGTCATTTGTAATGAAAATCTTCCAGTCGACCTTATGAGTCATTAGCCCTACCCAATCCTGGCAACCGCAAGACACTCCTGCCTACAATGATTCATTATTTGATTATGTCTCAAAAAAAAACTGATAAACTTTTGAACGTTTTTTTTAATACTTTTCCAAGAATAATGTTTGTTAATAATAAAAAGAATAAAATAGTAGTCACAATCACACAAAAGATAAGTTGTTATCATCATTGATATAAATATAGTGATACTTGGCAGTTTGGCTTTTACCTGGCAAAAGGCTATTATATGATTCAGAGTTTTTTTTTTCTATGGCATTCATGTTTATTTATGAGTCAAGAAAACAATGGCAATGATTCAATTCTATCATTGATGAAAAATAAACTAAATAAATTGCATTATAATGACTAGTCGTGATGAAATTCTTTAAATGATGTAGAAACACTTATTATCTGTAGTGTAGACATTCTGTTCATGACGTCATCTCTTGCTTCCTTCTTGTGTCATTATATATATCTCTCACTGTTGTTAGTATGAATAGAATCTTAGATTTGTTTTTTTTTTCTATTAAACCTTAGCATTTTCTATCGTCATACTTTAACTAGTAGAAACTATGGAAGAAAATAACATTGGCTTTACATGGCATTTATTTTCTAATGAATCGCTTTCATTCCAACATATAAAAAAATATATCGACATGAAATTGTTTTATAATGATAAAGCTACTAAACTTTCATCTCTAACACGAATATTTCATAAATTATATCATACTATAGGTCCATTCAATGTATGGTTGATTGGACTTTGTATATTATGTTTAATATGTATTACGTTATTCTCATTAATCGAATCTTGGACAATATTCTTCTATCTTACATTAGCACCTTATCTGATCATATTGACTTGGTCACTTCCATTGACTCGTATTGGCAGTTGGAAAGCATTTACATCTATTATTCATCGTTTATGTGGTATTCTTTCTCTTTTATTACCTATGGGATTGATAATATATAATTCATGGACGAATGAACATCCTCCAAGATATCTTTACTTTATAGCTATATTAAGTGTTACTTTCAATTGTATATTTGGTGCACTTCTTATTCCTCAAAGAATTCCAAGTTTTGATATACCAACAATACGAGCATTTGGTGTTGGTGTTACTCTTGGATTATCATTTGTTGGATGGTCATTAGTATGGTATTTTGGTGCTCAATCATGGTTTGCTCCTTTTGGATATGTATGTGCAATCTATAGTTTTATTACATGTCTTTTTGCTTGGAATGATTCTATACAACATATTTATACTAATATGACAAATCCGTATTATGCTACACAACTTGATTTAGAATATTTCAAACCACCAAAACGACCTTATCAAGTTGGATTAAAACATAAACCTTTGTAAATTATGGGAAGTATTTATAAGATTTCCATTCAAATCTGTTCATCCAAAATTACAAGAAGTTACAGTAACACCTTCATCAGCAGCTGTTGTTTTTACTGTTACATTAACTGCTATATTTTCATTGACAACATTATTGCAATGGCATTATCTTTATTGTGGATCAAATGGAATGATACTTCGTCATGAATTATTTCCATCTTATACGAAATATTCAGCATATTTAGCTTTACTTGCTGCTGTTGCAAATAATTTTGGTACATTTGCTGGAACTTTAGTTGTTCAACAGAAAGTATCTTCATTTTGGGGAGCTTTTTTTAATGCTATTGGACTTTTAATACCTGTTGTTGGAATATTAAGCTTTCAATTACGTGTACCACATGAAAATACTTTGTATTCAATTTTATTAAATAAATGTTCTACTTAAAATTATTCTTTTTTATTTTAAGATACAGTCCGCCAGAAAGCGAACTATTGATCGAGGAAATTTTTCTTCATTTTCGATTTATATATATATATGTTAAAAGAAAGAAGTCTTATAGAGATAGTATGAAATCCAAAATATCAGCTTGATTTGAAAATCTCTTGCTGAATTATTAAGTCCATTCCGATTACAGGAATTATACTTGTCAGACCGGGTGTTTATTGAGGATGCGGGTGTAGGTGTCAATGAAAAGAAGATACACACTCACATTCACACACCAAAATATCATAGTCACTATGTAAAAAAGATACTTTTTACAGTCCAGGACTTGTGTGAAGTGAAAGTACACCCTATTTATTGAAATAAAAAGGAAGAAATCCTGGCATCTTGTTTGTTGTCAAAAAAAAGATCAATGTTAAAGGAGAACAGCACCAAAAAAAGTTCAAGTTAATATAGATGTATACAAGTGGACTTTAGAAAAGTGTATGCAGTAAATAAAGTTAAAGGCACAGAAAAAGTTGAGAAAATAAAATAGAATAGAGAAAAAAAATATGAGACTTAGTTTCACCAATTGTTTTATAACAAAAAAACAAGAAATAAGACGCCACCGGTAAATTTACTTGTATCCATTTTTATTTTGTTTAGCGAAAAACGAAGTTGATGGAATCTTACCTTAAATAAAAAAAAAGACATAGCATGCAAGTTTTTAACATATATTTTTTATTAAGATGCCAAAAATTCAAAGACTGAATGAAAGAGCACAATTTTTTTTTGTGGATAAATTATACACCTTCGACGCACATCGAAGAGCAACATACGCTATCAATTTACAATTTACTCTGCCACACTCTTGTGTCATGCATATTTTTAGTGTGTTTCCGATCGATTTTGTACACTTTTTTGTCATGTGCACTGGGTAACACAAAAATTTGAACTTTCAGTGTGCGTATGTCATGGATAGTTCGCATGACAAAAACTGAAAAATCAAGGAAATCGAGAAACCATCTCTTTTTCCGGTAAAAGTCAATTTTTTTCCAATCTGATCAATCTTAAACAGTGGCAATTTAAAGTTTTTGGATCATCATCGGATCTTTCAAAAATCCAGTTTTGCTTGAAAACTCAAAAATTGGACATTTTTCGATTGCAAACCTATCAATATTCTGAGGATTTATGTTTAGAACAATATTTTACGATAGAAAGATTCGTCGCATTGTGATGATAGAAATACAAAGACTTTTTTGTTCCTGAGATATTGAATTTTTATTTTAAAAGACAAGTTTTTCGTCCAATTGGTCAGATGTTTTTCAGATTTTTTAGTCATACTCCCCTAAAACGAAACGAAATTTTTTCGAGTTCGAGCGTGATTAGAGTATCAGAAAGAAATAGGAATGGATAAAAATATTATGTGAAATCAAAGTACATCCCCTTTTAGACATTTTTATTATTCCTCTATCTCTTGCTTACCGAACGAATCTTCTACCACTACATTGTCTTCTTTCTTACCTTCTAGAACCCAAACGATGTACAATATTTTTTATACATTGAGTTCCAATCTTGTCCATAGCTACCTTAAAAGTAATAATTGAATAAACGTTGATGAAATTTAACAGCAGAGAGATAGATAGACTACTAACATTCAGCTGCAAAATGGTTACTTGTAGAATTCCAATAATACTTTCCGAAATTATAGCCACGAGTACGTTTAAGAATTTCATCACTTGGTAAAGGTCTAAAAATTAATACACCAAAAAAGAACACCTACTACATTATGAAAACAAACAAAAAGTAAGGCATACTTCGTCTTTTGATCGAAATGATTATTAATTTTTGCTTTACGATCTTGAAGTAAATCGGAAAAGTTGCTTTCAATTACTCGAGGAGGACCACGTTGTCGACGATCACAATCTTCGACCGACCTAAATGTACATCAAGATAAGAAAGACAATAATTTTAGAAATAACACTACGCTCTATTTCACACGGTGTGGCATAACCAAGAAAAGAAACTAATCCTTGGTTTCATCACTGTCTCTAAACATTCACAGATATTAATCTTACGGATGAATAACTTTGCCATTTCCTATCGAAAAAAAGAAAAGTATTAAAAATATTCATGAAATCTCTTCAAAGATAGATAGTTATATATTTACCAGCATAGATTCCACAATGGGATTGATTCCATCCTCTCTCAAATTGAATTATATCTCCAGGCTGAGCTTCTGCTAATACTTGCATTGGATTACTGTAAATTTGACCCATAATAGATTCGATTTTTCTTCTTGACAAATGATTTATGAGAAAAATGAAAAAAAAATTATCTAAAATATAAAGTGAATAACAAAGTACTAGAAGTGGACTTTAAAATAATTCTTTTTTCGTGGTTATATATCTTAAAGTGTTTACAGCTGGAAGCTGAAAATTGCAGGCTGTTATTCCTTTTCTCTAAAAAATTACTTACAAAATATTGGATCTAATCCTATTTCGAAAGGTAAAAGAAGGCAATACTTCAGAGAAAAAAAACGGAAAGATCCACAAAACTTGTAACATTTTCTTTTCTTTTGTCAGGATCAAAACAGGTGTGGAAGGATCATTCGTTCTAATTCTGAGTAAAAACAAAAAAAATATTCACACACTCTCACTCTTTTTCTATATTTCGCTATTCGAGATAAATGAAATGATTGCAAAATACAGAAAAAGAATGAAGACACTGTTATATCACACTAAAACTACAATCGACTGCAGAAAAAATAGAAAAACGACAGTGTAAATAGTAAAGAAGAGAGAGGAAGAGAAAGATTGCTCAAAAATGACCTAAGGATGATTAGTGGTAAAATAGAAGAAAGAAGATCATAGAAAGATATGTATCACATAAGAGAAGAGTGAAAAAAGTTATTCATTAACTTACATCTGTTACTATCGCCTTTCAATTACAGAAACATTTATGGCCTTTTCAATCGTATGAGAGAAGTAGCAGTCAACTGAAAAGAGTCAATTTTTCAGCAGACATCGCTAGTGAATAGTGCCAAGCAAAGGAGTTTGTCCAATACAACTTTCCTTATGATTCATAATAACAGACTTCGTAGAAACGAAAAATCTACTATTTTGATCTCTTGTTTATTTCCAGTTAGAAAATATATGAAACAACAAGAACCAAGCAGAAAATGTAAGATAAAGCAAATGTTTGATGAAAGAGGAATAAGTCACTGGTATCAAATGTACAATACCTTGTATATATTTGCAAAGTTCTTCTTTTTTGTCATATGATGTAGAATCGAAAACCTACATTTATTTCCTTGAATGTAAAGTACGAAGTCATATGAGAATAAACATTTGTACGTGCATTCATTCGAATACATACACAAAACAACACGAAACAATGAAGAAAAAAGTGTGACAGATGTATAGAACGAAATATAAAAGAGATCGGAAAGATGACAGAAATAAAGATAGAGAGACAGAATATCTAATATTCAAGCGATGATATGTATCACTGGAATCTGATGAGAATATATCAACTGATTCCTTATTGCAATTCTAGAAGATTAAGTAGAAAATGATGAATAAATAGGTTTCTAGGTATATCGAAGAAAACAATATCTACATGATTAGTAACAACAGCTACATCATATTTCCCATTTTAATCTCGCATGGATTGCGCTAACAACTTTTTTAAAGAAAATCGATTTTCGCGCACAGGAAATATGAATTCATTGAAAAAGTAATATTAAATCTGATAGAAATCAACCGTTGCTTTATTTGTTGTTCTTTAATAGTTTTATTTTTCGAAATTTATATCAAATAAATATAAGTGGATGAATGTTGTTGTCATTAAAAGGATGATTTATGTATGTAGAAATGAATAGAAAAACTGAAAGTATATTTAATAATCATTTGTATTTAATCAATGGATTAACTAGCATTGGCCAAATGCATACACGGCCAATTACATAAATACTGTGATTCGCACCCGTCTGAGAATGCAGTTGGGTTCCAAGACTCTAAAGAGAAGGTCTAAGAGTATTTATCCTTTTGAAGCTTTATAAGCATAGAGTTCAAACTTCAAAACCATTTATTAATTGGAAATTTCTGTTAAAATAACTTTCAAAATTGAAATATATACTAAAGCAAAATGAATACTTTATTATATTAAAAATTCATTCGAACAGGAAGAAAAAAAATTTAATATAAAATGGACGGAAAAAAAAAGACGCATCACTGTAATGAGATATATATATATATATAAATCTTTAAGTAAAATAATAAGCAAGTTCTTCTTCTTCTTCGTTTGTTTTGTTGATTGTATCTTGATCGGTTTTTTTTAATTCAGGTGGTCTTGATCGTTCAGCTATTGGACGACCAACATGTTTCTTAGGTGGTTCTTTAGCTCGTAATGCAGCTTTACGTTTCTTTTCTTCAGCAGCACGTTCTTCTTCATGTTTCTTTTGTTCACGTAAACGAATACGTCGTTCTTTTTCTTTACCTTTTTCAGCTTCTTGTAAACGTAATGGATCCATAAGTTGAAGTTCTTGAAATAATTCTTCAAGACGATTTTCAATTGATGCAAGATTTTTTAATGGATCACTTGTAACAGGATTTTCATTAAAAATTTTTTTATAAACATCACTTATAACTGCTGATAATTGAGCAAGATATTCATCTTGTTTACCATCTTCATTAAATAATGAATGAGCACTAACAAAAAACAAAGAAACAATAGAATTAGACTTTTTTGACAATTTTCTCTTTTTTTTGTTTTTTACCCAACTTTTGCCATTAATTCTTTTTCTTTTTGTTCTTCTAATTCAATTGCTTGTTCTAAATGATTAACTTGTCGTTGTAAAGATTCAGTTTCAAGATTTTTTTTTCTCATTGTTATTTGTAATTCTCGTGTTATTTCTTCTAATTGTTCTTCATGATCTTGACTATTTTGTATTAATGATAAATTTTGTTCTTCAAGTTCAGTAAATATTGCTAATAATTGTTGTGGATCAGTAAAATATAATTCAAAATCATTATCTAAATCATTTATATTCATTTCAGATGGTGATATTTTATGTATATCCATTTCACTTCCTTGTCTAACAGCTAATTCTACATCATGAGAAGAAGTTGATGAACGACGTCGACTACCACCAACATTAGTAAAACCTTTTTGTGTTAATGGACCACCACGTTTACCAGTTTTAGGATCAACAACACGACTTTGTGGACGACTACCTGCTTTACTTGCTGAATCATCAGATACAGCTGATTGTACATCAAGTTTTTGACGTAATAGACGTTCTTGTTCGAGTTTTTTACGACGTTCGTCTTTCCATTCCTAGAAAACAAAAAAAAATTTAGATTTTCTTAGGAAAATAAATAATCAAATATTAGATACTGATGGTGTAATTTGATCAAGAAATTGTTTATATTGTTTTAATTCATTTAATTCATCTTCACGTCGTACAAGTTCACTTTTTAATGCTGTTATTTGTCCATGTAAACGTTTTATTTCTGCAACTTTTTCTAATTTTTTACGTGCTTCTTCATCAGCTCTAATTTTGACAAAAAAAAACAAAAAAATTTGTCTCTCAAAAAAAAAAAATAAAACGTCCTTACAAACGAGCTGCTTCATTAGCATTTTTATTATTTGCTGCTAGAAATTGATCAAACATATGCTAGAAAACAAAAAAAAAAAAAGAACAGGATTATATTAATTGACAATAATAAAATCATACTGCATCTTCTTCTAAATCTTTTTCTGCTTTTTCAATTCGTTGTTCTTCAGCAGCCGTTATCTCTTCAAGTTTACGCATTTCAGTACGTTTAACTGTTAATTCATACTTGAGAAAAAAAAACCAAATATAATAATTATAATTAAACAAAAAGAATTATAGAAAAAAATAATTACTTGTAAAACAAACATATTACGTTTTTTTCCAATAAAATCTTGTAAACTTTCATTTTCAACACGACGATTACGTGTAATAGCAACAAGCCATGGTGCATTATCACGCATTGATGCAACACGATTTTCTTTATTTTGTGCACGCTAGAAAATATGAAAAATGATTTTTTAAGTTTGTTTATTTATTTTAAAATCTTTTACTTCTTGTTCAATTTCATCATCAATTTCTTTTAATACACGAAAACGTCTTCCTTTCATAAGACGTTGAGCTTTAGATAATTTTTCATGTACTTTAAGAGTTTGCATACGTTCACGTTCCTTTTAAAATGAAATATATCTATTTGAATGATAAAAACTAACAAAAAAAAACCCCTATTACTTGTGCTTTTTCATGTTTATCAAGTTGACTTAATGCACAAAAATCCACATCAGGTGAAAATTTAAATGGATTTAAAGTATCTTTTTTTTTTAAATCACCAAATTGTTGTTGTTGATATTGAAGTTGAAGATTTGGTGGTACACTTGATGAACGATGTTCACCTTCACTTGGATGAGCTGATGATTGAGTTTTTGATTTTCCTTCTCCATCACGAAATGTTACTTTTGATGTAGCTCGAGAACCAAGACCTTGAATTAAATATAATATAACATATTTAAAATTGTCAATAAGTTCATTGAAATGTTTTACGAATATCAGATATCAGTATGTGATAGTCCACATATCGATTCTGTTCTATATGAACGCGATCTCAAAGAGAAACTGCTCAATAGGATTCTATCGAATTCCAACAGGATCCCGTCGGAAAGTATCGGAATGCTCCCAGTTCAAACAATCAGACAGTAAGATCTTTCGCGAATCTAATAGTATGATCTGATGCAAGATTTCTGGGAAAACAATTTTTTGTCAGATTCTTGTAAGATTTCGTCCATATTGTAAGATCTTACGTGCAGATGATAAGATTTTATGTCAGATTTTTCGACCTGGGGGGACTCGCAGTCATTCTGACACTTTCCGATAACTTCCTGTCGGAATCCCATACCAAGGACTTCGACACCCTTCAACGAATTCCTGTCGGACCCGATAGGATCAGCCATCCTGGGATAGTAACATAATATCAAAAAAAAAAGTCAATTCAATCGTCTGAATTGTATAAAAGATATTATTTATGTTAATTTTCTCAATAGATCTTTCGGATACTATATATTTATGAACGACTATCTTTTGTAAGTATTTGGAGGTCAGAATAGAATTTATATTGTTAGTTATAGTATTGCATAAATATTCTTTTACCTTGTTTTGCAGAACCTGGACCCATTTTTTCTGCTCCAAGTGTATCACTATCGATCACTGAAGACATGATCGATAGATTTTTTTTTAATTATCTACAAATATAAAGAATATTTGGTTGTATGAATTATAATAATAATATATTTCACTGCTTCAGTGAAATTTCCTATACACACACGCACACATCAAAATAAATGTTACATGAAAAGAATTGAAAATGATGAGAATAGAAAAAAAAATATGATGGCAAGATATAAATTGCACACTAATCTAGCTTTATTTTTCCATTTGACTATTAAGATATTTAATGCCATCCATCTTTTTCAAGAAGTTTATTCTCACTAAGAACAGTTTTCCAATCAACTTCAAAGTATTTTTTATCATATCCTTCAATTAAATCCCATTCTTCATTTTTTTCACTTAGTTCACGTGAAACTTTCGGAAGAATACCAACAGCTTGTTTAAATGGAATTACATGTAAACGACCTGGCTGTAATGGATCTTCAGGTAAAAGGATACCTAAATGCACAAAAAAAAAAATTCTTTTTTCTTTTGTTCAAAGAAAGTTTTTTTGTAAAGAAAAAAACGAAACTTAATTACCTAATTTACGAAGAAATTCAACAGCTTGATCACTTTTAAAACTAATATTTGCATTTGTTTTCATACGAATCCAACTTTCAATTTCTAATTCAAGAGTTTTTGTTGTTACTTCAGCATTTTGTTTTTGTCTCCATAAGGTAATCATATAAGCAATGAGACTAGAAAATAAAATCATTATTTCATTTTATTTAGAATATGATGACTATGAATTTATTTTCGAAAAATAATGATTGGTTTTAGTCTTATAGAATAAAGAATGAAAGTATCGAAATCATAAAAAAGACAATGGATGTTACTGGCTTTTCAAAAAAAGATCATAGAATGTTGATTAAACATACATCATATTTTCTAATAAGATATTGTGCAGTGTCGGTGTAAATACTGACGACAATGAGTTCACTATAGCATTGACTACTAGAGTTTGGCGGTTCCAACAAAATTGAAATTGAAATCGTTAGATCATCAGATAGATACAAAAATTCTACAATCTATATAGACAAGTTTTCAATTTTTCATTCTTAAGATCAATCCTTTGGCTATCGACATGAGAGAGAGAGAGAGAGAAAAAAGCTCTTTAGAAAATCATTATAGCTATTTTACAGATTTATACGAAATAATGCTAAATCTTCTGTAAGATACGAACGTTTTTGAAGCAGTCAGTAATGCACAATCTAACAGTGCATTCAGTACACTGAAAGCGCGTATTGCTTCATTTCTTCACATGTCGTTTAATATTGCTGCAAATTATTCAAACATAAAATTATAGTACCGCTCAAAAATTGAAAGAATAACGTAGTTTAAAAAGTGTTATGACAAAAAAAACATGAAGACAGTTTGCTTTTAACAATGCCATCTAGAAGAACACAAAATTCTGAAAGATATGATGGATCGGTACGTTTTCTTACGCCCATCTCTTACAAAGTTTATAAGAAACACAAAAAAAAAACAACAAAATGGATTTTTCAGCAAATTTTTTGGTAGATGTTGATTTTGCTTTTGTGCTGAGTGATGCTTATAGCTTTGTAAAGGGAGATCATCAAAAAAATGTGGCGATCTCTCAAAACGAACTCCTATATCGAGATCTAAAAACTATCATATTCGGTTTTTCTTAGTAAACTTTTCCATATAATCCAATTATCAAATCTTATGCATCTAATAGAGAACTTTATTTACTATTCAAATCATTATTTGTATTTGAATTGGGCACTTAGCATCAGAGACAAAAACCTAAAAATTTTGAACAGCACTGAATATCGCCCTACTCAGCATCATGTCGTATTGCTGAGAACTAATGTCATCCTGCTCACCATTACGACATCTCGCAACTAATTAAGCAAATTAGATTTTTCAAAATTTTAGATGGCAATAAGGTCACAGGCCGAAATTTTGATCTCCTGAATTAGTCAATTAAAATTATACTATTACATACACTTCTTTACTTAATTCATCTTCTGCTCGATCAATAATCATTGCTAATAATTGTTTATTAGATGCTATATTTTTATAGAATAATAATCGATTCATATTTGATAACGAATTTATTTTTGATTTATAAGAACTACGTAATGACCAAAGTATAAGAAATAATGTTAAACTACTTCCACCAATAATTAAACCTGGTATCTGAAAATTAGCCATTGTTGTTATTAAATGTGTAACAGCTGTACTTGTTGCAATAAAAAATGTAAACCAAATAAGTCGTTGTTCAAATTGACCTATTTGTAATTTACCAATAGGTAATAATTGTGGAAGATTTTCCAATGGTATATCACGAAATGCTTTAAGATATAAACGATCTTGTCCTTTAAGACGTACAGCTAAAATAACACGTTTTAAATAATCATTTGTTTTTAATGAATATGATTTTCGAAATAATTTTTTCCATCGTGATAATTGTTCAATTGGTATTTGTTCATGACCAAGTATCCAAAATTTTAATACATCATAATCATGACCATTTATTTTAATATTAACATTTGATAATGATAAATTTTCTTTTACAATAAATTTTTCTACAAGAATATTTCTTGGTAATTCTATAAAATTTGAACGATGAAGTAAATCATCTATTTTTTGTAATAACCAATATTCATTATCTAAACGATCACGAGATGATATATAATGATCAATTGTTTCATTATCAGGATTTAATGGATTAAATAAATTTTTTAATTCATTTAATATTGGATGATAACGTTGTACAACAGCACTATCAAAACCTTCACATAATTGATGAAATACAAGACGATCATCATCATTATCTACTAGCAGAGTATCGGTAGCTATTAAACGTATTAATGAAGGACGTGTTAACTAGAAAATAAAAAATATAGTTACAATCAAATTAATTGAGAAATATAGACTAGGAATGTACTGAATTCGAACATTTTAAGTTTGATCTTGAATGTAGTCATTGTCAGTTAATAAAACTAGGAAGTAGAAGTAAATCAAACCTAAAGGTGGTTATATACTTCAAGAACTGCTTGAATACCCGAAGCGACCTGAACTCCGAACTATAACGAAAATGAAGGAAATTATAAATTCTTATCAAAAGTTTCAATGAAGCATAGATAAAGAAAAAATGAATTTTCAACAATATTGAATTAATAATTATCGAGTATAGACAAAAAATATTAAAGTTTGTAACTCAACTAGTACCCGTCAAGTTGGTTCCGAACCTGAACCGGGACGCAAAAATTTTCTGTTGACCGGATCTGGATTCAAAAAAATTTAATCAGTCGGGTCCGAGTCCAAAATTTTTGAACCCGACGGGCTCTAAATTCGACATATTGGATATCTATCAAGAATATTTTTCTATTAAACAAATGGATAAATCATTATTCAACTTTCAAAATCTGTTCAAGTTCTGATAATGTAACAATAGTCTTACGAAGAAGATAATGCTGTTTGACTTCATATTATGGCTAGAATCAGATGTCGGTAAGACTAAGACCACAGCCTACTGATGAGGAGTTATGGTTGCTTAAATATAATTTTTTTATTGAGAGCATAGCATTGCCGAAAAAATCTAAAGCAAAGAGTGTTGACTTCAAATTTTGTCTGCAGACACCTTTGATAGTCCTTAAAGTGTCAATGAAAATAAACATGTCTTTCTCGTGATATTCAATCTCACATTGAATATCTCGAGAAAGATATGCTCGTTTACATTTGAAACTTTCAAATCTGCCTGCGAGCAAAATTTTAGATGAATACTCTTTACAGAAATGCTTTACTCTCTCAATAAAAATTTCATTCAAAACAATCATAATTCTTTATCAATAAGCCGTAGTCTTAGTCTTACCGATACCTACTTGTTGCCATAATATGTTGTCCAACAATTCGATACATTCTCTCGTTAGTAACTGTATATTCAGCAGTGCAGAATTTGTCGCTAAAAAAAAAAGAAAAATTTCTCGTCTTATAGTATACGAAAGACTCGCTCACAAGTGCAAAAAAAACCATATAAAAACTACTTTTTATTAATAGAAGCACTTTTAATTCCATAAAGTAATGAATTATAGCGTTAAATAGAAGAAGAAGTTGTTTACGATGTTTTTCTCCTTAGTTCTACAAGATAAACATTTCTTTACTTGAATTTTCAAATGAAGAAAATTTTCTTGAACACATTATACGTTTGCAATAATATCTTTAATAAATCGAAAGTTAATTAAAGATTCGACTTTTTTCACGAAATAATTTAAATTAAATCTATCTTCGATTACAACTCGTTTATTCTCTAAAAAAAAAAATTCCCTACCGGAATAAAATGTTCTCGTGTTGTAGTAATATCTCCCGAAGATGATACATTAGTTTTCTTTGATGGAAAAAATGATAAACCAGATCGAATACTTCGAAGAAAAGCAGAAAAACGTGATGATGGTATTCGTTCATGTTGTTTATTTGGTAATGATGGTATATTTCTATTAATTGGTGTACCAGATAAAACAAGTCTACTTGATATTTTTGTATTTTGATGAAGATTATTATCAATTGATTTTTCTGTATTTGAAATAAGAGATGTTTTTTCTAATCGTTTAGCTTCTAAAAGATCATTAAGAGGAACAAGTTTTATATTATTATCTTTAAGTTTATTTGATAAATTTTGTTGTGGTAAATAATTAATTGGAATTCCATCTTGTGTTGCTTCTATTTCACTAACTCTTGGATAAGGTAAAGTAGATAGAGTCACTCGAGTTGAAATAATAATCAAACGACGACTAGTTTGATATAAATAAAATCTAGATAACATCTTCAAAAAAAAAAAAAAAAACAAAAAACAAATCAGACCTAGTTAGTTAGTTAGCAACCGTTTCGTTGCTTTCACGATACAAAAAAAGAAAAAGAATTGCAATAATCAATAGAATATTTGCTAAGATGTCGTTAGTTATTAGAAGAAAAAAAAAAAGGATGTTTCATAGCAACAAAAGTTTTGTCAATGCTTTTTTTTTTTCAAACATGTTTACTAAAACT